CTCGCGCGCGCCCGCGTCTTGTCCCGGCGCCGCCGCCGCCGCCGCCGCCGCCGCCGCCGCCCCGGACGCGAGCGGGGGACCCCGCCGACTGAGCGTGCCAGGACCGGGGAGAGCGCGGCCGGGGCCGCCCAGAGACCGGCCGGGGCCGGCAGTGGAGGGCGGGGTCCCCTCCGGATGGAAGGAGACAAGCCCGCCAACTTGGGACCCCAGACGCGCAGGTTCCCTTTGGGGGTAAGGCACAAACACGCAGCCAGGCTCCGACAGATCACCCCTGGGGTTTGGGAGAGAGAGGGTGTTTGCGGCCCCGAAAGGGAGTGCCTAGTTGGGAAACCGAGTTGAGCGGGGAAGTCGGACCCGCCTCTAACACATCCCGGTTTCAGGGTGGGCCCTTGGACTGTCCGAACTGTGACCCGGTAAGGACCAGCCACCGCCATGGGCATGGCAAAGGATTCCGTAACCACCGTGCCTGGGTCTGCCCTCAACAGCAACGTGGAATCTCGGGCCACGCAGCAGGCCGGGGAGATTGGCCGCGGCTCTTAGGAAGGAGCGTGCACGTGGAGTGCTCTCCGGGAGCATCCGAGTAGGTATTATTGAGCTTGTCTTCCTCAAGAACTGTCTTCACAGGCAAGGAACTAAGGTCCCAGCCTCCACTTCACACCCTTGCCATACATACCCACTGGTTCACATCTGTGTCTCCCTGAACAAGCACAGAAAATCTGTTGTCACAAAGTTGTTCCACCTTGAAGTCTTTTTCGCTGTTAACAGCGTGTTCTAGAGAAGGGGGGTTGGGAGGATTCGGCGTCCTCTCCAAGACCATTGCCCAGTTTGGATCGGTCGGCCACGAAAGGAGCCAAATAAGATGCTATCTGTGAATTACTGGTGAAACTAGCAACATGGAAACACTGACCTGAAAGTGAGAAGAACTTTGCTGTACCAAAGGGACTGCTCTGGAATCTAACCAATCATAACTGCCTTAGAGAGTGAACTGTGTTTCCATCCACCGAAACTCTCCCTTCAACCTCATGACAGGCCTGCATTTCTCAAAGAGCTAATTCCACATTTTTCCAGAGAGATGAGAAAACTTACTGTGTGGTAAATGCCACAAACAGGCCCATTTTTCACCAATTAATCTCTGCCCACAGCCATGACCTAAAACAAACCATTTTCGTATATGGCCATAGTTCACATACATAGCGGAAATCGCTGCGAAATTAGCACAAGCATTTGACCAAGATGAAAAAAGAGACCAGAATTCCGTTTCCTTTTCTGTCTCTTGAACAAAGGAAAAAATATTTAATAGAGTTTTCAAATTGATTACTCAAATGCTTCCTTAAAAGATCAAAATCCATGGTGATCTTTCTCTACCATGACAATGGAAGTTTTTTTTTTAAGTATCATTTCAACACAACTCAACAAATACATTTTTTAAATGATATGCACAGCACTCCTCACTACCAAAGATTAAAATAGGAACCTTTGTGGATACATTTTGAGCTTTTACAGAAAGGCATGGCAAAACTAGCACTGGCATTATAAATTCTCATAAGAAATAATAAACTATCGGGGTGCCTGGGTGGCTCAGTCGGTTAAGCCTCTGCCTTCAGCTCAGGTCTTGATCCCAGGGTCCTGGGATTGAGCCCCGAATCGGGCTCCCTGCTTAGCCGGGAGTCTGCTTCTTCCTCTGCCCCTCACCCCGCTCTCATGCGCGCTCTCTCTCTCTCTCAAATAAATAAAATCTTGGAAAAAAAGATAACTGATTTGAAAATTAGAACAAATTCAGATTAAAGTTGTTTTAAAGCCTCAGTAATTTGAGGTGGGATAGGCATGGTAATAGTAATGGACTAGAAATCCGTTCATAGCTTCTAATCCTGGCCCAGCCATTCATGCCCCAGCATTAAGCAAGTCACGTTAACATTTCCAGGCCTTGTTCACCTCAATTGTAAAATTGCCGGAAGTTAATTCTGATGAGCTTTAACGTCCCTTCCAGTCTTAAAAAGTTTGATTTCTGTATGACAAAAATATATAGGCATCCTTAGGATCCATGCTTCAGATTGCAAGAGCAACCTTTGAATTATTTGTACCATCAAACTAAAGAAAACTCTCAGTGTTGACAAATCAAAACAAAAGAATTTGTATCAAAGAATTACTATCTGGCAAATAAAATTTAAAATACTCTTCATACTCCCCAATTCTTTCACCTTCTTTCAGCTGTCTTCCCAGGTCTTTATAAGGCTAAAAGCCCAACTCTTTCAATAACCTATGTTTGGAATGCATACCTCTAAACACCAACCCCAGCACCTGACAGGATTCTAAAATAAAATGTAAGGACGTAACCAAAGACCATCAGTTTACTTAACTAAAAATATGCACAAAAAGAATGAGCTTGCTATGTTTATAGCAACTCCCTTCTCTGTTTACAGTCCATGTCAAAGATTATTAGTAAGCTGCATTTCTGAGAGCTCAAATTATTTAATTATTCTTTTGCCAGATTTAAACAACCAATAGAATTACTTAGCTCTTGTCTTTAGGTTCAGGAATGTATGACCATTATCTGTTGTGAAAAAAAGACCTAGAGTCACGGCACACCTTTGACTTTTCTCAGTACTCTACCCCTGCCTTATTTTACCTGACTTTGCCTTTGCTCACATCTTGACCCATGAACTCTCCACCAGAATCATTCTCCCAGTTTGATGATCCATGACATGGAATCCTAGTGCTTACCCCCAGCTCCCGAGTTGTTCTGGTGCAATGCAACCCTGTGTGTATTCCTCTATTCTGAAGGGGGTCCTTGCTGTCGAGTTCCAAAGACCAGTTTTCCCATGTTCCTCGGTTTGTAGGATGAGAATTTTGTTCTCCATTCTAGGTACCCACACCAGTAAGCTGATAGTGCCCCAATTAACTATGGAAGAACTAAAACCCTGTTTAGGTCTTTCCAGTCCCAGGGCCAAAAGCTCTGCCCCTAAACACTAGTTCACTAGTCTGAGGTTCACTAGTCTAGTAGCTAAGGATCCCCCTTGACAGGCCTTCTACATGCCACTGCCTGCCCACCTGTCTAACCTTATAAGCACCAGTTGTAATGTCCCATTACTGGGCTCAGCCCAACTGTTAGAACACCTGCCTCTTCATCTGGGACCTCTGGTGCTTACCATTGCTGGCCTGGAAATTGCCTTCTCTGTAAATTACCTTGTTCTCTCCTTAACCTTCATCCTCAGAGAAGGGAAATAACAATTGAGCCTCATGGTAGGTCTCAGCTCCTCCTCCCCACCTGCCCTGTCTTCTGATAAAGTGCAACTATCTGTCCTTGTAACTTGTACTTTCAACCTTTTTTAAGAAGATAGGATTATTTTCTGAATAAAATCCAAATTTAGAGAAATCCATGTCTCAAGCAGTATTCCCAGAAATTCCCTTCTAAAATTAAATATTTGTAAATGGATGTTAGCAGCTACACCTGTTGGTGACTATTACCGTTATGATCGTGGAATGTAAGAAGGAGGGATGGTAAAGAGGTTGGATGAGCAGGACTCAGTCCAGTCATTACCGCTGTCCTGTGGTCAGGTGACTCCTCAGGGTCTGACTCCTCAGGATGAGAATGAGCAGCCTCTAAATTTGCTAAGAGCAGTGGAAAAGCAGGGGATAACTGGTTACCAGTTCTTTAAGAGCTTTTTATTACTGTTCCCATTCTGCATTATTGCCTCTCAACCAGCATTTTAAAACATTTTTCAAGAGAAATATTATATAAACAATCTAATGGTTACGAGGGGGGGAGGGGGGCAGTGGAATAGGTGAAACAGGTGATAGGCATTAATTAAGGAGGGCACTTGTGATGAGAACAGGTGATGTATGAAGGTGTTGAGTCACTATATTGTACACCTGAAACTAATATAACACTATGTTAACTGGAATTTAAATTAAAACTTAAAAAAAAAGAAATATGATGCAAATAAAAGCAGAATGCTCTTATTGAAGTGGAGGTGCCCCCGAGGCCTGAGAACTTCAAATGGGCAGTTCCAACACCGCCTACCCTGACCTGAAGCTCCTCTCTAGAACCCCTGGGCAAAAGAAGGAGGGGAGAAACGGTGGGGAAAGAAGGAAGGAAGGAAGGAAGGAAGGAAGGGAGGGAGGGAGGAAGGAAGGGAGGAAGGTGGGGGGCAGATTTTAAACCTCTGAAGTAGAACATAAAAAATGGATTTGAATTGGATTTGGGAAAAGGCTTAGAACCAAATGCTCTTTCTAAAATGCAGTTTTTCTAGAGGCACCTGGGTGGCTTAGTCAGTTAAGCGGCTGCCTTCAGCTGGGGTCATGATCTCAGGGTCCTGGGATCAAGCCCCACATGGGGCTCCCTGCTGAGCGGGTAGCCTGCTTCTCCCTCTCCTCCCTGCTTGTGCTCTCTCTCACTCTCTCTCTCTCAAATAAATAAATAAAATCTTAAAAAAATAAATAAGATGCAGTTTTTTGGAATTCAGTAATAAAGTAGCCCTAATTTCTGAGGAATAATGATATAAAGCAGTCTGACAAATTCTAAGTACCAGTCTGAGATTCCAAATTCCTAAAACTAGAGCCATTCCTTAAGGTATATGAAAACCTTAAAAGGTTTTGAAAGAATGAAAAAATTAGCATTTACAAATACACATTTGAAAGTCAAATAGACTGGCTTTTCTCTGGTATAGAAAGGTCCCTGTGTTGTGTGCCGTGGTGACTCGATTGTCTATGTTAAAATACCCATTTTCCTTCCAGCTAACACTCATCTCAGAACCTGAGCCTCACTTTGACTCACTCTTGTTTTTTAAAGATTTTATTTGTTTGTTTGTTTATTTATTTATTTATTTATTTATTTGAGAAAGAGAGATGGGGAGGCACCTGGGTGGCTCAGTTAAGTGATTGCCTTCGGATCTGGTCATGATCCCAGGGTCCTGGGATCCAGCCCCATGTCCAGCTCCCTGCTCGGTGGGGAATCTGCTTCTCCCTTTCCCTCTGCCTGCCGCTCCCCCTGCTTGTGTTCCCTCTCTCTCTCTCTCTCTCAAATGAATACATAAAATTCTTAAAAGAGAGCGAGTACGTGTGTGTGCGCGCACACGCGCACGTATGGGTGTGAGTGCGAGCAGGGGTAGGGGCAGACGGGGAGAGAGAGGGACGAGCAGACTCCACGCTGAGCACAGAGTCCAACCTGTGGCTTGCTCTCAAGACCCTGAGATGAAACCAAGAGTCGATGCTTAACCCACTGCACCACCCAGGTGCCCCTTGACTCATTCTTTAGTTCATCTTGACAGGTATTTACTGAGTGCCCACTATATGCAGAGCACTCTACTAGATGCTATTTAGAACTTTAAAAACTGTAAAGTTCTTTAGAAGCTTCCTCAAGCTGCAGCTCTTTGTGGGAGATAGGGCCTATGCACATAGACTGTTAGGGAGCACAAGAGAATATATGGTAAACTCT